TTTACTTTCGTATTGAACTTCTTAAATAATAATGGTGATAAATCAATTTTTAAACCCATAATTTCTATCACAACTGCATATTAGATCGAATTGAATTGAATGCAAAGGACATTTTTTGATATTTCGCATATTCGATGGACTAGTCTGAATCAATAAGAATTGGAAATTCAGTTTGAAGTAGTCTGAATTGTAAGAAGATTTAAATGAAAATTTAGATCTACTTTCAGCCATGAAAAGCAGATTTCGATTGTGTTGTTTATTAAAGTGAAAGTGAATATTAAATTATTGATCTTTGGCAATTAAATTATTAAAATGTATCTTTTAATTAAAACTTCAATTAATCCAGGGTGGAACATGGAGACGGAAATCTGGTTGTATGTTATTTTTTCGAGACTCTTTAAAAGAAAGATTCTAGAAATAAAATTCTGTACACGCCATCAGGATAGGGTTATTTTTTCAATGATACTGTATATTACTGAATTAATAATTTTACTGAATAATGTTCAAAATGGAGAAAAGAAATTTAACTGTTGGTGCTTTTTCGGTGAGAATTGAAATTCATCTGTGAATCCTGTGCTTAACATATATTTTTATATTGCAGATACCGTTAGCTCAAGTATTTGTCGAAGAAGATGGCGAAATTATTCCTGAATTGAAGTCGCTCAAACGACTTGCAGCAATCATAACTGATTATGGTGGATTTAAGTATGATATTTTTACTTTGAACAATCAAATCACATTAATTGTTCTTTAGTTTGAAATTTCATTTACCAGAATCTGGTCAATTAGGTGTTGTTACAGAGACTGGTTATCATGATGGTGTTTTGGGTATGATGCAAGAAGGGGTAAGTTTATTCAAATATTTCATCAATTATTACTAGTTATAATTTATATCTGCATGGATAACACTAGTCATTGTCAAATACGTTAAACCTTTTAATGAACCTTAAAAATTTAATTTTAAATATTTATTAATATGTTTTGTCTAACTGCATCTTCTGGCGATAGAAAGCGGAGTTGTGTTTCATACCATTGGCACTTGACACTGTAAAAGTACCAGGTCAATTCACACCCGTTATATCAGAAGAAAGCTATTACATCAGTTCAATACGTAATATGGGTGGAGGTACTTCAGCTTTCATTGATAGTTTTATTTCAGTAAACACGATTCCCATACTATTAGCTATTTTAATAGTTCTGCTATTGGAATTGGCTGTTATCAAACACTTCAACATTGAATCGATTGTCAAAGCTATCTATCAATCCTTTGGTACTTCATTTTATCAGAAGTTATCTCGACATTCAACATGGTTTTGCCTCATTCTTATGATTATCATAATGTTTCCTGTTTACATTTTCAATGCTTCATTCAACACTCAAACTATTGTCGGAACTAATGACGTTAAAATTGATACATTGAGAGATGTCATTACATATAACAAGATACCGTTCTTTTTCGAGGGTATTTCTATGTTCGACTTGTTCAAAGCTAAAGTAACTAAGGATTATGGTGATATTTACGAACAATCAAAATCCAAAGGATATGATAAACCATACAAACTTGGACTTATTCCTGTTTTCAGACCTGCAGACAGAATGGTAACTTTCATCTCTACTCTAGGTGTGAAGATGGCTCGTCTAGGTTCGGATGAAATACACGAGCCTAACCAGGTCCATCACTTTTCAGAGCGACCCTTTCACAGGTCTGTACAAGCTTTGCTCTTGAGCTTTGAAACTCCCGAGTCAATAAAGAGAAGGATTCATCTTATGTAAGTAAAAATTATTGAGGGCATACAATGGCTTGTCATGCAATGTCAAATGATACTTTCAAAAGCTAACTCATTGCCTTATTTGCTTCAGATGTCAAAGATTAGCTCAAGCCACAATCGCCAAGAAAATAGAAGCTGATGTCTACATTGAATCTATTCTAAGCTTTTATCCTGCAAGTTTATTCGACTTTCACAAAGCGGAAATTCCACAAAATTCAATCGAAGTTAACTGGAAATCTTTAAACTACAATACATTTTGTGAAATATTTTATGGATACATTTTATTGTTAGTGTTGGTATTAATATTACAACTTATTGAGCTCCTAAATGTCCTGCTATTCAAGCGTTAAGTTCATTGTAAATGAAAACTGAATTGCTCGAACGCTGTAAACCTAATCAATGTATTAATCAACCAAATAATTAAAACACAGTCTTATTGTCTCTCAACTATCTGGTTACTGCTAACCCAGAAATGATAATGATATTATTATTTTAATATTAATAATCTGTGTCTAAAAATTATTGAAAAACTCGATAAAAGCAATTTATTAATATTTATCGAACTAATGAAGATCAAGAGCCAAATTCGGTACAGACGGATAGCTAAGTTAATAAAATAGAACTGAATTCGACTTTGCTGAACGATTGTCATCTTGTTTATTTGGCCATACTTAATGGATAAACATTGCTTAGACTGCTTTGGCTCTCGGTTGACCAATAAAGATCAATGAATGTAAAATAACTTATCGGATGATTCGTTACAAATGAAGCTATCTAAATTAATGTAATTCAGACTCAGATGACTCAGAGATTCAGAAAACAGACGTAAATTTTCAATAGATGCGAGACTCATTCTCAGGTGTTGTTGCAACTGTTTTGCATAAAATGAGATAGTATTTTACGTCAAGCAAACTGAACTAAAGCGAGTTCGAAATTTCAACTTTGCACTCGATTTTCTCGAAAACTTCTGACCATAAAAATATTTTGATTTCACGAATGGACTCAGTTTTAATACCTCTAGAAACTCAGCTCTAGCAAGTCAGCTCTTATACCAGAGCACCTTAATATCTGTAATAAATTGATAATAAATTGTATGAAGATTCAAAACGTGATGTTAAAACTTTTGTTATAAACTAAATTGTTACATTTCTCTTCGACTTTCAGTCAATAAAAGTAGATTTTTAATCGTCATTTGGGTTGTTTATCAAAGTGAAAGTAAATAATAAATTATTGATCCTTGGTAATTAAATGATTGAAATGTATCTTTTCATTGAAACTTCATTCCAACTCAGCAAAATAAACATCAACATACAGGGTGATAAATGGAGGCTGAGAATTTCAAATATTGTGCTTTTTTCGAGACTCTGTAGAAAAAGTTTTTAAAGTTAAGATTCTTTAAGATCACGCCATTAAGATATAAACAGATATAAACATTTTTGGGCGAGACTACTATGACATAATTTACTTGAGTGTCATTCATTATGGTGAAAAACAATTTAACTGTTGGTGCCTTTTCGGTGAGTTTGCAAATCGATCTGTGAATTCTGTGCTTGACGGATATTTTTATATTGTAGGTTCCTTTTGCTGAAGGATTTGTCGAAGAAGATGGAGAGATTGTTCCTAAATTGAAGTCACTTAAACGACTTGCAGCAATCATGACTGATTATGGCCCATTTAAGTATGATCAATCATGAGCATTTTCACTTAATCAATCCCAAGTCAAATTAATTGCCTTTTAGTTTGAAATTTCATTTACCAGAATCTGGACAACTAGGTGTGCTTACAGAGACTGGTTATCATGATGGTGTCTTAGGTTTGATGCAGCACGGGGTGAGTTTTTCAAGTATTTTATCAATTCTTATTAGTTATGATTTATATCTTCATGGTTAACCCTTGTGATTGCCGAATGTGTAAACAAACATAATTTATATAAAATCTAAAAGTAAAAATATTAACTTTTTGCAAAATCTTTTTGACAACAGAAAGTTGAATTATGTTTCTTACCAATGGCACTGGACACTCAGAAAGTACCAGGTCAATTTACACCCGTTATATCAGATGAAAGCTATTACATCAGCTCGATACGTAATATGGGTGGAGGTACTGCAGCTTTCATTGATAGTTTTATTTCAGTCAACACAATTCCCATACTATTAGCTATTTTAATAGTTCTGCTATTGGAATTAGCTGTCATCAAACGCTTCAACATTGAATCGATTGTCAATGCTATCTATCAATCATTTGGTACTTCATTTTATCAGAACTTATCTCGACATTCAGTATGGTTCTGTCTCATTCTAATGATTATCTTAATGTTTCCTGTTTTCATTTTCAATGCTTCATTCAACACCCAAACTATTGTCGGGACTAATGATGTTAAAATTGATACATTGAGAGATGTCATCACTTATAACAAGATACCATTCTTTTTCGAGGGCATGTCTATGTTCGACTTGTTCAAAGCTAAAGTAAATAAAGATTATGCTGATATTTATGAGCGTTCAAAATCAAAGGGATTTGATAAACCGCACCAACTTGGACTAATTCCTGTTTTCAGACCTGCTGACAGAATGCTCACCTTCGTCTCTACTCTAGGTATAAAGCTGGCTCCTCTGGGAGCGTCCGAAGTACTTGAGGCCAACCAGGCTCATTATTTTTCAGAAAGGCCCTTTCACAGGTCTGTACAAGCTTTGCTGTTGGGCTTCAAAACTCCTAAATCAATAAAGAGAAGAATTCATTTTATGTAAGCATAAAATTGTATTTTCATGAATATTTGTTAACTTGGTAGCTTTATAATGTCAAAATGTAATCTTCAAAATTTGTTTTATTTGCTTCAGAACCCAAAGGATAGCTCAAGCTGGAATCGCTAAAAAAGTAGAAGCTGATGTCTACGTTGAATTTATATTGAACGTTTATCCAGCAAGCTTATTCGACATTCACAAATCGGAAATTCCACGAAATTCACTCGAAGTTAACTGGAAAGCTCTAAATTACAGTACATTTTGTGAAATATTTTATGGATACATTTCATTGTTAGCCTTGGTATTGATTGTTCAACTTGTTGAGATACTAATTGTCCTGCTATATAAGCGCCAAAGGATAAGAAATGCAAACTGAAGTGTCTGGAAGCTATAAACCCAACCAATGTCTTAACCAACCTAACAAACAGACAATTAAAAGTTAATTCATTAAATCGTCTGTTTTCTGAAATACAAACACTGTTAATATAATAATATGAATGTAAACCTCTTATTTGAACTTATTAAAGTTGCTTTAGCCACTGTGCTCTCAAATTGTGCCTCACTTTAGCTCGTGTCCGTACAATATTAATGAATGTTTTACATAAATATATCATTTACATGTAAGGTATGACTCTTAACGTTGTGGACTAACTATTCAAATTGCGATAGTTAGACTTGACTTACAGAAGTCAATCGACCGTTGCAAAAATGATAAAACCTGCAACTAAACTCAACTAAGGTCCATTGTGAGACTCAGGTCAACGAGAAATTTAATAACATCTAGTCCATCAAAAAGACAATTAATTTAAAGTAAACAGTTTTAATGAAGTCTGTATTAAAAGGTCTTTCATCAGATAGGGCTTTCAGGTAATTAACTTAAAAGACTATTCAAATTGAAATACTGAATATTTGCCTTTATATTCATTTTATTATTTATTTTGCAGATGTCATCTTTTAACTATTAAGAAATA